GCTAAGCAGAACAGGGTCTGGTTAGTACTGTGATGGGAGACCTCTGGGAACAGCAGGTGCCACAGTGGGGCAGCTGCGGCTGTCAAAGTGCCAAACTATGGTTGTGTCCTTAAGCCTAAGTTATACTTGCGCGGCGCGGAACTTACGGAGGTGACGTGACGTCACTTGCGCAACGCGTTGGTCACCGCAAGGCCCTTACGTCGCCTGCCGCGCAGCATCGAAATTTTCTAACTACGTAAGGGTCGCCGCAAGGAAGCTCCGCTGTGATTGGTCCGTGTGTGTGTATTGGAAGGAAGCACGGAGCGGCTGCAGCAGGAGCATGGACGAGGCACTATGGAGCAGAGAGCTTTGTGCTTCGAAGGAAAAGCAGTTTGGGCTCAGAGCCTGATATACAGGAGACTGTGGACTATCTAACATATATATAACTTATATCTTGCTTTCCTCCTGCACTCGTAAATCGTTCATGTTTGTCTCAGATATTTACCACTATTATTGTTTTGCTGTTTGTGCTGAAAACTATTTAATAATAACTATGTTTCCAACAAGAACTGTGTCTTTATTCACAGCGTCACAGTTGAAATGACTTATAAAAAATGAATCCATAAAACTATCACATAAACCTACAGTAGAAACACGTGTAATGAGCTCAAACAGCTTTGTTTGTTATTGTTGTTCTGAAGAGGACAAAGTAGCAGCGTAAATGGGACCGCTCCTGTGTGATCGCCCTCATGTGGTTTGTTGTGGGATTACAACATTCTCCTCAAAACTCCGTAAGGGGAACGCGCCAGTATAACATAAATTGTGCTTACGTAGGTCCACCGCAACCGCTAACGTAAGCCACGCCGCGCAAGTATACACTAGGCTTTAGGCAAGACACTTCCCCCACATTAGAATGAGTCTGGTGTGTGTGTGAATGGTTGGTGGTGGTGGGAGGGGCTGATGGCACAGACTGGTTGCCTCGCTTCTGTCAGTGTGCCCCAGGGCAGCTGTGGCTACAGTAGTTCATCACCACCGTGTTTGGAGAGAAAGAATAATGACATGTGTTCTGAAAAGTGCTGTATAAACCAATGCATTATTATTATTAAAATCCAGAGAGAGACCAGAGAGAGACCAGAGAGAGACCAGAGAGAGACCAGAGAGAGACCAGAGAGAGACCAGAGAGAGAGACCAGAGAGAGAGACCAGAGAGAGACCAGAGAGAGACCAGAGAGAGACCAGAGAGAGACCAGAGAGAGAGACCAGAGAGAGACCAGAGAGAGACCAGAGAGAGAGACCAGAGAGAGACCAGAGAGAGACCGGAGAGAGACCAGAGAGAGAGACCAGAGAGAGACCAGAGAGAGACCAGAAAGAGACCAGAAAGAGACCAGAAAGAGACCAGAGAGAGAGACCAGAGAGAGACCAGAGAGAGACCAGAGACAGAGACCAATGAATGACCAGAGAGAGAAGAGAAAGAGAGAGACCAGAAAGAGATCAGAGGGAGAGACCAGTAAGACTCCAGATTTAGAAACCAGAGAGACTATAGAGAAATCTGCCAAATCAGTTGAGTCGGTTGTGACGACTTCCTCCTTGGTCTTGTGTGTTTCAGAGCAACACGACAGAGACTTCTTCAGGAACAATAAGGATCAGTCTGTCTGTGTTAGTGACCAGAAAGTAAGTACCATGTGTCTGTGTTAGTGACCAGAAAGTAAGTACCATGTGTCTGTGTTAGTGACCAGAAAGTAAGTACCATGTGTCTGTGTTAGTGACCAGAAAGTAAGTACCATGTGTCTGTGTTAGTGACCAGAAAGTAAGTACCATGTGTCTGTGTTAGTAGTAGTAGTAGTGTTTATTTCGAATTACATGCGCAATACAAAACAAAAAACAAAAGGAAGAAACATATATATGCACAATTCGAAAAGGAGTAGGTAGAAGTGAAACTTATGCTTCCTACCCCTTGTTACAAACTTTTCTCTTTACAGGAGTTCAAATGATATACAGGCATATTTCTCTCAGATATACAATTTACACTCGTCTCCATGAATAGTAATGTTAAATGCTGATTTCGCACCAATGATGTTCTTAGGTCTTGTTGTCACTTGTCACTTGTTGCCATTTTTACCCAAAGCTGTTTAATTAATGTTAACATGGTTATGTATGTAGACCCTACATAGTGCAGTGCATTAAAAACAGTGGGTAGAATGAGCCAGTCGAGAGAAGGTAATAGCCCCCACTCAACCCGCCCCACTCCCAACCTCCCTGACCAATGGAAATGTAGGAAAATTTGCGTTGTATATTCTTGCTGTGTGGTGCGTTAAAAACGAGGTGTTGAGGCCGCTTGGCAAAAGGGAGCCCGCCAATCCAACCATATCTCGTCTGCTCTGATTTACTTGCATCTGTTTAAGCAGTAATGGCAATCACAACATGACAACTTGTTTTCCTGCACTATAGATCTTGGTCATGTGCTATTCATGGTTAAGAGTTGTCCATTGCATCTAAAAGATTTAACTGCTCCAAATGATTTTTACACATCCCTTTTACAGTTTAAACAAATTACATTATTTACACATATGTTACATAATACATACCTTAATACTTTACCTTACACTTTATGTATCACACCTTACTTTCCATTTCTTCAAAAACAAACCATCAATTTAAATCCAGATTGTATTCTCATGTAACACTCTCATATGTCCTGAATATAGTAGTTTTGATTTGTTTCTTAAAAACTATTATGTTTTTTGACTCTTTAATGTCTTTGTTAAGTGCGTTCCACAAGTTGATTCCTTTCACTGAGACTGTTCTTTCCATGACTTTTGTTCTGAATCTAGGTTTTTTAAAGATATCAGTTCCTTTCAGATTGTACTGACTTTGTCTTTTTTCAAAGTTCTCTTGAATGTTTGCGGGTAATGATTTGCAATTTGCTTTATACAATATCTGAAAAATATTATAATCCACTATATCATAAAATTTTAACACCTTACACTCTAAAAAAACAGGATTTGATGAGTCTCAATATCTTTTGTTGTTCACTATTTTTAGGGCTCTTTTTTGTAAAATAAATATTGGCTGTGTATATGTTTTAAAAGTTGTCCCCCAAATTTCGACACAATAGGTTAGATATGGTATAATCATTGTATTATATAAGGTAATTAATGCTGTGTGGGTAAGAAAGTATTTCACTTTATGTAACACACCAATTGATTTGGCTAATTTTCCTTTTGTATAGTGTATGTGAGATTTCCAGTTTAGGTCCTCGTCAATGATGACTCCCAAAAATGTAGTTTCCTTTACCCTTTGGATTTCCAGGCCGTCTATTGTTATGGATATACTATTTCCAAAATTTTTCTTTTTATCATTGAATATCATGTAATTGGTTTTTTTAATGTTTAGCGCCAATTTATTTTGATCTAGCCAGCTTTTTATTTTTGCAAGTTCTTTGTTTATTACTATTTCTAACTCTCCTATATTATTTCCAGAGTAAAATAATGTAGTGTCATCAGCGAATAAGATGCTTTGTAATACAGTTGATGCTTTTGGAAAATCATTCATGTATAATATAAACAAAATTGGTCCTAGTATTGAGCCTTGCGGCACCCCCCAACTGATATCGCATGGTTCTGAATACGTACTGTTTATTTGGACAAACTGTTTGCGATTTTCAAGATAACTGGAGATCCATTTTTGAGCAATGCCTCTGATTCCATACTTCTGGAGTTTCCATAGTAATCTGGGGTGGTTAATTACATCAAAAGCCTTTTGCAGGTCTAAAAAGATACTTACTATATAATTTTTTTGATCTATTTCTCTTGCTATTTTCTCCGTCAGTTCCATTATTGCCATTGCAGTTGAGTGTTTTTTTCTAAAGCCATATTGATTTTTAATTAATATATTTTCTTTTTGTAAAAAGCTATCCAGCCTTATTGCAAATACTTTTTCCAAGATTTTTGAAAACTGTGGCAGCAAGGACACTGGTCTATAATTTGAAAAGTGGTGCTTGTCCCCGTTTTTGTAAAGAGGTATTATTTTGGCTGTTTTCATACCATCAGGAAAGGTTCCTGTTTTTAGTGACAAGTTGCAAATGTGTGTAAAAGGCTCAATTAAAGATTCAAAAATGATTTTAACAATCATCATGTCTAAACCATCATAGTCGGTTGATCTTTTGTTTTCACATTCATTTACAATTTTTCGTACTTCGTCTTGTTCTACATTGGAAAGAAAAATACTGTTCACATGATCTACTATTGTGTTTTCAGTGCTAGAGGTTGGCTTTGGAATTTGTTTTGCTATCGAGTCTCCTATACTAGTAAAGTATTTACAAAAATCATTTGATATGTTTATTTCGTTGGATATTTCAAGACTGTCCTTTACAAAATAATTTGGGTACACATGTTTAATTTTGTTGTTTTTC